AGCACCGCCCTTTCCGAGGTAATTCTTTCGTGTGAGCTCCCCTATTGTTCTGTCTGCTTTTGTGTATTCTCATTTGTCTTGAAAGAATCTCATTTCCACCATCATTACATCAAAACAAACACCAAAGAACATGATGATGTGTTCGACATGAGGTAATCGGTGATGGCTCGATAAGCGTTGTTATCGAACGACGTCATTACTACGTTTTTGCCGGTAACGAACGTTCTCTGGCTTCTTATTGCTTTGAGAACAAAAAATGAGGATCATTTGCGCAGTTGAAAAAGGAATATAGGTAGTTCAGAATGACATATGAGGGCTGGTTATTTTGAGAGGCCTCTAGTTTGGTCGGATATTCAGGGCGGAGTGTACGATTAGAAGGCATTAGAATTAAAGTAGAGGGTAAGTGGTAAAGAGTGACCATGTGAAACGGTCCAGAACCGAGAAATGGGGTCCTTTCCTTGCCCGTTGATTTTCGCATTGATGCGACTCTCATCGTGCTGCCCTCTTCAACGCTAACGCTCTCTCTGCTAAACGGCTAGAGACCTGCGGCGAGTGGTTAGCCAGTCGGTGGGCGTGCCGCGCCGATAGCGCCGCGGGGAGGCCATGCTAGGTCGCCGGGGGCATATCCTTCGCTGCGAATTGCTTGTCGGTCCGTACCCTTATAACTTATGCCAGTCCAGTGTTTTCCCCGTCTTCGCCCTTCGACGTTATCGTGGGATTCTCCTCTAACGATCAAGGTGTGGACAGAGCTTTTTGGATAAGTGCGCTTGGATAGTTTCTCTCATCGTTTACCCCATTTTTAAGATGACAGAGGGTACAGATGGGAAGACGCCATAGTCTCACTGACTTCGCCGTTGTGCTCAGCATGGAATGTGCCCTTAATACACCGGACTACATGGCGATGCACGAATGCACTAGGAGAAGGCCTTTTGTTTGGCTTATCTTGGCATTTCTCATGCCCTAAACTACCCGTTTGCAATATCGGATCTAAGAAATAATACATTCAACCGATAAAAATTATTGTTGGAGTACTGGCTACTAATGAGAAAATATGAGAAAAGAATATGCTGAAATACCCGGAAAACGGCGGTCTATCATGGTCGAAGTCGCTAGCAAGAACCTCTAGAAATAAGACTCCCCATGCGTTGCGACCGCAAGTGGAGGGTCTTGAGCAAATATTCCTTGAGGTTGCAAACTTTTGCATTGCGCTAAATTGTTGGAAAGTGCAATACTTTTTTGATCAGACAACGCAATTCTCAGCTCCTAAATTTAGATTTGGAAGCAATAAAAACGTGCAGCGAAACCAGTAATGCAAGAAGTGCATTGGTGAAGCTTTTTGTCCTCTGGCCACATCCCAAAGTGCTGACAAGAACCAATTACAAAATCGTTTCCTCCATTTTCTTCAACGTGTAATAAACCAGTGAATAGGAATTATCAGGTCGGCTGGAGAGTTTTCCGCTCCAGTTCTCAAGGGTATTGGAAAAATCACCTGTAGACCCGAAACGAAC